TACAGTTGGTTCACTATGCACCAGGCAGCATTCTCCTTACAGGCAGCTTCTAACCCAATGACTTTCCACAGCAGCATCAGACAACAGATAAATAATATCACTATCTCACATGCACCTTAGACAAAGGGAAAGGGACACATGGACAGTCCATGCAGTGTGCCCAGTGACAAAGCAAGGAAATGTTGCAGTCAGAACCCACAAGCACTACAGAGCCTCTCATCTAAGATGCATTCCTCCATTCAAGGAAACAAGCTGCTTTGTCTTTTTCCCACACAGGCTAGGGAGCCAAACAATCCTGCACTTCTCCCACTCTGTGAACTAAATATACAATGCTCATGGAAACATAAATGACACGCTCTGCTGAGGGATGTACAGAGACAAATCCATGAACCTGACCTCATGAAGCTCAGAAACTAAATGAAAGGATGATCATTACCCAAGTGATTTTAATAAAATAGTAAAGATAGAAATGCACACAGTCTGCTAATAAATATTAGTGCCTACACATTCTAAGACATATAACAGGCTCTCAAAAGCAAAGTTAAATGAGAGTCTTCAAATGGACTGTCTAGTCTCTTGGAAGAGTCTCAACTGGGAAATGGGAATGAACATATCAGAGTTTCCTGTAAATTAGAAGAACGGATGGGAACCTGGATACCTGGCCAATAAGAATGTGGAAAAACAGTTTAGATAAAAGTTTGTCAGGAAAGCATCTAAAGTGTTTGGGCACACCATGCGTGACTAGCCACCCAAGCAGTGGTAGGAAAATTAATAAAGTGAAGTGCGAAAACAGAGAAATGTGCAAGGGGGAAATACTGGTGAACTGTTGGCTAGCTGTTTCTTTGCAGATGATCTGAGTGTGAGAGCTGAGAGTGGGTGAATCAGAGGGGGCAAGAAGAAAGAAAAGAGAAAAGGAGATCACTTAACCTTTCCTAAATCCTAAAGCTTGGAGCCTTACACTTGAGCTCAGAGCCAATATTTCTGAAAGCAGTTCTGGCTGATGCATGGAATGATTGCTTCTGCTTCCTCCTACACATCTCACTGGTCTCAGACGCTGTTACGGAAGACAGAGGTTCCAATAAAAAGGCTGTTACAGCAAGTCAGGGGAGGGGGAGGGTCAAAACTTCAAAATGGCCATGGGCCCATTAGAGAAGTCAAAGACAGTAGTTCATTTGTCCTTGCTGAATAATAATTTGCTCAGGACCCATTGATGAAATCTTATTAGCTACTGATCCTGCTTAGGAAAATAGCTTCCACAGAGTGTGAACACTTTAGCCCCTCCTCTTCTCCCTGACCCTCGCATATTGTCCTCTTCCATTCCTCCATCCCTCCATCCCTTCCCATATCCTCTCTGCTGCCTTCCTCACCACTCTGCCTTCTTTCCTAGGCAATTATACACTTGTGAGAGTTAGGAAATCTGCCAGACTGAAAATGATTTGGGATTAACAATATGAGTCACCTCCCCCTTGCCCAGATTATAAAGAATATTCCAGAATATGAAGATTTGGTCTGATATTGTATGATTTTGTAAGACTTACATTGACAAATGTATTCAATAATGTTACTTTCCTATATGCTTCTATTATCTCCTAGTGAACAGAAAAAGGAAGTAAAGGCAACAAACAGTAAACTTTTGAAACACTAAATGTGTTTGCATAAAAACTTGAGAAGTGCAATGATTTTCTCTTCCTTTTGTCATGCCCATCTTGTTTTACTAAGGTGCTCTGGCAGACAGGGCCTATTGGTTGCTATGCTGAGCCTCAGACAGAGGGGTTAGGCAGATAGATTTGAAAGCTGCTTTCTTAGTCCCTGTTTTCATAAGGTCTGACCTGAAATTATATTTTAGGATATCATTAAGTCTTATGAAGAATGGCTTGTTTTCTATCTTAATTCATCTATTTTAATTCATTCTTAACGTTTTGCTAAAGATGACTGTATCTCTTCAGGGGTGTAAACCATAATAATATGCTTTAAGGAATATATATATATTTACAATCAGTTTGCAGAAACATCCTCCTATGGATCTGTTTTTTTTTTTTTTAAAACAATTCCATTCTGATTTGTAAAGTCTGGTTAGATTAAATGAAATAGTTCCCGCTTATTATCACTCTAAAAGGTAAGTGACAGGAATTCTTGAAGATGAGGACCAAGTAAATAAGGGCTATCTGAGGAAGAGAAAGAATTGAGTCCATGGGAAGTTACACTATTCATGCACTGTTCATGAATTCAGAAGACACAGGGAAATGCAGAATAACCACCAACAGAGAATGCAGAGATGGCGTCTCCAATAATCTTGCAAAGGTGTTGCTCATTTTATAACTCTAGTTTTATTCTTAACAGTTCTAGAAGCACCTTGAAATTGTATGCTCACACAAAAAGTGTTAAAGTCTCTTCCAAGTCAGTAGACTTGGCAGGAGGATTGGGGACAGGGACAACAGTGGACCTGTAGCTTAAATAATTTTCTGACAGAACAGATCTACACAATAGCAGCCCATTGGTGTCTGTGGCTAAACAGAGGAAACCCAAGCTGTCTAAAATTCATAATTCACTGTACTGTGTGGTGTCAGCAAAGTAAACATGACTTTTAAAAAATATGAGCAAAATTGTCATTACTCAGGAACATCCTAACAAAGCATTTTACAACAAAGTATAATTTTCAGTTTTTGGAGTGAATTTTCATGAACAACTAACTTGTTCTATGCATTTTCAGAAGCTGGAAGAGAAATACTATTTTGAAAGTCACTATGTTTGCCCTGGGTTCTCAGGGCTGCAAATGCTGGTATTCTTCCAGAACTTGCATGTCTGCTTTGCACTGCTTATCCATATTCATGAGTATACCCTCTGCTTCGTAGTTTGCATTAGTAGATGACTATGACTCTTAATCACTCACTGGATACAGAAATGTTATGAAAAGCTGGGTTTCTACAACACAAAATGTCCATACTATTGGAATAAAATGGAATCTTCTCCTTTCATACAAGAAGTCCATTTTAATATAGCACTGGAAAAATAGAATTCAATATTGACTTGAAGCCAAACAAGGAATGGTGGCACACACCTGTGATGCTGGCACGTGAGAGTTAGCCAGCCTAACAAGGACCTCAACTTTCAGGCTAGCCTAAGCTACATAGTAAGGCCCTTCTCAAACAGAAAACCAAAATGTATCTTTGGAACAAAAATGTTGTGTGTCTATTAACATTACTGCTCTATCTAAGTATGTTCTAGTTGTAGTAGCAGCTACATTAACCAACCAATATATAAAAGAAAAGACAAAGATTAAACCAATACTACAAACCACCAGGATGAAAGCATTGAGCATCTCAAAGCATAGCCATACTTAGCATGTATAACTTCACGATTTATGCAAGACACATCCACCCAGTTTCAAAACCTCGTCATCAATGTAGAAGCCATCAGTCTTCCTCTCCACTGGGCAGTATACCTCTTCCATCAAGAGCACGTGAAGATGCCCTTTGTAAAGGAAGCCTTACAAAGTCACCTGAGAAGACATTTGTCTCCTGTTGTCAGGGATGCTCCACCAAGTTTTCATAGTTTACATGAATTATGATGAATTCATACATTAGATCCAAACATTACCCTGCTCATGGACATTTTTATCTGAGTAAGAAGTGTTTATGAGAAATATCTTCACTGTCTTCATTTGGCAGCTATGTGATGACACTGGCAACATAGCTTTTGTTCAAATATAATGAATGGGCTTTTGGAAATAATGCACACACAGAAAGGGTGGCTGGGTGAATCAAGGAGTTTCTTGCACCTCATTGTAAAACATCTTTTCTAATCTTAACATATACCTCCTCTAGGAAGAAGTTTGTAGTTTCGTTTTTCTGTTTTAACTATTTGCCACCCAGCTCCCAAATAAGTACACAGAGATTTATTCTTACTTATGAATGCCCAGCCTTAACTTGGCTTGTTTCTAGCCAGCTTTTCTAACTTAAATTATCTGGTTCCTCTTTAACTACATTTTGCCTCTGGGCTTCTTACCTTTATTCTACATATCTTTCTTTCTCTGTGGCTGGCTGTGTGGCTGGGTAGCTGGCCCTGATGTCCTCTCCTTCTCTTTTTCTCACTCCTTACCCCTTTTCCCTAGATTTCTTCTATTTAGTCTCTCTGCCCAACAGCCCTGCTTTTTCTCTCTCTCTTGCCTAGCTATTGCCCATTCAGCTTTTATTAGACCAATCAGGTGTTTTAGGCAGACAAAGTAACAGTTTTACAAAGTTCAACAAATGCAACATAAAAGAATGCAACACATCTTTGCATCATTAAACAAATATTCTATAGCATAGATGAATGTAATACATCTTAAACTAATATTCCACATCAGAAGCCTCTCTCTCTTTTTTGTGCATGTATATGGTATATATTTCCATGTTTGTATCTGTGGATGCATGTGTGTGTATTCATATATGAGGAGGCCTGAGTATGACTTTCTCAATCAATCTCCACCTTATATATGAGGCAGGGTCTCTCACATTTCACATTACCCTGGGCTCACCAACTCAGTTAATGTAGCCTGTTAGCTTGATTTAGAATTCCATCTCCATGTTTAGCATATTGGTGTTACAGGTGGGCTGCCATTCCCATCAACAGTTATGTGGATCCTGGGAATTCAAGCTGTTGTTTCCTGCCTACACAGCAAGCACTTTCTGTTGAGCTATCTCCACAGTCTGATTTATGTTTTTGAAAGTAAATATTCCCATATATATATATATGAAATTATACACATGAATTATTTTATGTCTCTGCTTTTCAGAGCTAATAAACTGAAAAAGTTCTCTCAGAACACATAATTCTGTCTAATCTCTGACATATACTCTAACAACAAAAACTATATGTTGCATTATTACACATATGATGACCACAACAGGAACAATTACCATTCTAAACACTTAGCAAGGTTTGGGGGACAAAGCTCAGTGGGAAAACACTTATGGAGCATGCAGAGCTCACTCGAGAAAGATGGATCCATATTCACTTACTTGTCTCCAAAAAACTTCCTCCAGAATTCAGCAGCATCTGCTTTTGTGATACGGAAGTTATCTCCTTGGAACTGGCCATTGGGAAAGATTGCCTTAATTTCTGCCAGCATGTGACTGAAGATAAGGGACAATTTTGTGAGATTCCGTCTGTACAAGGGAAAAAAAAAATGAAGAGAGGTAAATAGATGCATGTAACCTTTAATGAAAATTTAGGTTAAGCCATGTAAATTCTGTATATATCAATCTGAGTCTTAGGAATCAGTCATGAACCTAAAAATAAGTTGGTCTCAACCTGAAAATCCAACTAAAATAATGTTCACTGCACAATTACATTCCTAACAGGTTTTTATTGATCCTTTACCTATATATTCATTTAACAGAAACATATACAGGAAAAATTGTGTAATTTCATTCATTAAGCTCACAGTTTAATGAAAAAGATAAAGTCATGGATGGCATACACAACTACAAATGCCAAACACAAATGAGAGGGGGCTATTGCTACCCAGAGAAGGGGGAAAATATGCCACTAGAGGGGAGTCCAGGAAGATATGTAATTGCATGGCACACGAATATCCTGAGGAAGAGGAGAGGGTGGGAGAGGAGAGGAGAGGATAGGGGAGGAGAGGAGAGGAGAGGGTGCTGAAAGCATCACAAGCAAAGCTTTCAGAGGATGCTTATCACTTTGGTTCTCTGGAGCTCGGTAAAGGGAAAGATGTGACAGGAAATGGGATGAGAGCACATTCATTTGTACTAGACATGAAGGAAACCAAATGAATGAGCCAAAGTGTCTCTGAATTCACTGGCCTCATCTACCTACAAAGAAGATGTCTTTGTGAAGGGGTTGAAAACAAACATTTGCAGACTTCCCTGGGTCATTCTAACATATTTCCCTCATTATGAGGGAATGTGAAGGAGAGCCGAAACAGGTAGAACGAAATGTCTCAAAAGTATGATGTGGCAACAGGATGAGAAAAGATGAGTAAGCAAGAAATTAATGCTGGGATTCTCCATTCTAATTCCCACATTTTGGGGGATTCCAATGTAATTTAAAATATATTTTATAGGCCAAAGCAGCACTACCACCTGCAACTACTCTCAAAGTTATGTCATTAACTTTATGACATAAACTATGTTGAAAGGTCCTCAATGCCAGTGCAAGATAATGACAAAGCTAGTGAACGAAACACAAAATGTTAAACAAAATTATTTTAAAGTAAGTTTAATTTGATTTTACATTCTTTTTAACTCACAACTACCAGCCAGAACTCAACCAACATACACCACACCACCCCCCCCCCCCACACACACACACACACCGTAAAACTTCCTTCTACTTTGAGGCTTTAAACCACTTTGAGTGCATACATGAAATACACATGAAATATAGAGAGTGATTTAACTTGGAATATGTAAAACCTTGTATTTACAAATGTCTGTCACTAAAAATCATGCTTCTTTGCCTATTTTTTTCCTCTTAAATCTTAGTTAATAACAACAGAAAAACAAGAACAACAACAACAAAAAACAAAGAACAAAAAACATGCTTAGAAGAGATAGTGTAACATGAACCCATGGGCGGTTTGCTTCCTAAAACACTTTTGAAGATACATAAGATGAACAGAGAAAAAATATAGATATTCAAGAAGTGACAGAGTAAAAATAAAAAGGAAACAATAGGCATACACACAGTTGTCATAATATACTCATCCTTAAGAAAAGTGCCAAGTAGTCTCATAACACACATTATCTATGAAGTTTCATTTCGAAGGAGTCAGAAGTTAGCAATCTGCAGATTCACTATCACTGTCCACAACTCTTCATTTCCTGAAATGCATCCACACTGGTGCTCAACACAACCTCATTCAAGAGCAAATATGATACTCAGCAGAATCTTTAAGATTGAGCTGGCTGTCCCATGTCTGCCCACCCATCCAGATTAAAATGACAGCAGGTGTTAAGACATGGATTCTAGGAGATGAAAAGCAAAATGTTCTGTTCTATAAAAGTATCCAAGTGTGCTCAACCTCAACTGTAAAAACCTTCAAGATCCATGCTTAGAGAAAAGAGCAACCTTAGAAAACCTGCAGTGAATTAAGTCCTCTTATTAGATGAGTGGGTTAGTTTTCCACCAATCCTCCAGCTGACACATAAGAAGGAAAAAGAGACATGAATATGGTTATAATTAAGATAAATCAACTGTTCCTTATTTTCTAAAATGCTTGCCTCCATTCCCTTGTGTCTTTGTTCTTTAATCCTATCCAAATGTTTTTAATTTCCCCTTGCTAGGTGTAGGCATAAAGTTGGTGATTACTAATTTTGGCTATATGAGCCACAGGAGACGGAAGAGACATTCAACATATAAAATAGAAACATGAACACTGTATAATTTTAAAACTACGGGCTCTAATGGTCACTAGTACATACATGAATAACTACTCCTTGTTTCTTTGTGTGCATAGATCCATTGTTTTTAAACCTGCAAATGGTTCAATAAATTTTGTCAGTCTTGTTTTAAATGACCTGAGATAAAGAAAAAAAAATACACTTGACCTGTGTTTTTTTAAAGAAACTCCTACTTGTCTTGTTAAAGGTATCTGGAGCCACTAGTGCCATGGTCTCTTAATTTCCATATAATCCAGAGTTTTATTATATTTAAACATACCCTACAAATATGTAAATGATCATTTTGGGAACTTATTGCCAAAAAAATTGATTTGTGAGGCTTATAATTCAATAAGGTTAATTAAATCTTTTATTACTATTTAAATTTATTGACACAATATACCCACCATACTCTCTATTATAGACCTCTAGCTTTTAGTAACATCCTAGCTTCCAATAAATTACAAAGTTACATTTACTTCTAAGCATCTAATACTGGGGAAGAAAAAAGCCTCCCTAAGCATGTTCTCTGAGGCTGAGATACTTGTTCCTATCATACAAACATTCCAGTGAGGCAGCTTTTCCTAAAGCCACCTGATTTGCCGTCATATGATCAGAAATAATGACTAATTAACACTGGCTTTCATGATTACTAATTACAAGCTCTCCTGCCCCAACTCACACACACAAAAAAAAAATCTGTTCAAAAAGACCACAATATAATGGTATTACAAATATAATTCTAAGGTCACTTACAAAGAATTTTGCATTATGAATGCTTTCATTTACAAGAAAATGTCCTCAATACTATTTATCTTCCATTACCCATTAAAATATGAGCCAAGAACTTTTTCGTGTGTGTGTGTGTGTGTGTGTGTGTGTGTGTGTGTATGTTTTTCTGAGTAAAGGTATTTTGAAATACCAATCAGAAAGTAGATATTAGTTCTGAATAGAACTACTGAAGATATCAACATTGCAGGAGGCTGAAAAGGAGGGAAGGTGTAAAAATAAATGAACAAACAAGAAAAGGAAAGTAAAGGCAGTTTTACTGTTTTTTTGAAAACTGTGCCTAATTCATCCATAACATCAAGGTCATCAGTTAAGCTGCAGGACACCCTTCTGTTCTAAATTCAGTCTCCAACAGTTATCCCTTTTCAATGGTGTGAATCAAGTTCTCTGAAACTTAAGGAAAGTTGTGGAAGGTGCATCAAAAATATACAGCTGAATTGGAATGAATAAATGGCTTAAATTGATATCACTTCATTGTTTATGAATAAGTCCAAGTAGTTTAGATGGCTCTAGCCAATATCATGAAGGACAAAGAATAAATACAGTTTGATTCTGGGATTAAAAAAAAAAAAAAAAAACACACACACACACACACACACAAAGAGGACATTACAATAAAACATACCAGGGCGGGTGAGGTAGTACATCCTAATCATGGCCATTAAGACTTAACTATGTAATATAGAAAATTAATCAATGACCACTTTTTTCATTTATGGCATCCACTGAACATGAGAGATGTACAATGCATATGATCTAGTGAGATTACATGTTGTTGGATCGTCTGTCCCATCGGAGAAATAGCTGTCATAATGCAAGGAGGAAATAAAACCTAAATTAGGCAAACACTTTAAAAGACATTTAATTAGTGAAGTTCAAACTTCAGGAGAACGTGCTCCTCTGGGTAGAAGAAACGGGGGATCAGATTTTATCAAAAACTATTAATAATTCAATTCTCACATTCCAAGGGGGAAACAAAGTGAACACAAGCCCAAGCAGCACAGAAAACATATAAATATAGGCACTCAGAAGGAAACTCATGGCCAGCTGAGGAGTAATTTCTACTGAATCTGTGACTTAGTGCCTCCAAGACAGGCTTAGAGGGGTTCCACCCGTTGTTGACCTTCGGTACTCTCATTCCCAAGGGAGCAGGGAGACATGGCTGACGTCAGCCATGGCTTTCATTCCTTCCTCCTCAGAACAGTCTATTATTAAGAAGAGACCAGACTGTCTGAAATAAGACTGATTATTACTCATTCCTCTGCCCAAATACTAAAAGCTGTCAAGACCTCTAAGGGGACTGAAGGTTGGTGGCTTTGGTTCTAGTCACAGCACCAGAAGAAAAAAAGCAGAAGAGTCCAGCAACTGTTTACCACTGAAGATGTAGTGTTTACTTCAAGCCATAAGACAAGTGAGGAGTGTGCCCAGAAACAACTTAGACTGGAACAAAGGCATTAGGACCATCTTCAGTCTATCTACATCAACGAGCTTCCTGGGAACTGAGGGCTGATGGCTGACTTGGGAGTGGAAGCAGACCAGGCAGAAGGGGATGAGGATAAAGAAGAGAGTGGGGATGAAAACAAAGTGTAATGATAAGTGGGAAATCGTCACAACAAATTTCATTCTTTTGTATGCTTATTAAAATACTAACCCATTAAATATGAAAACTGATTAGAAACTTTAAAAAGAAAATAACTAAATCAACCTAGAAGATTGCTACAACAAAAGCCAAGCTCCAATTTCTAGAGCCTGAATCTGGGCACTGGGCATCCTTAGACCTCTACATAGCATTCTCTTCTATGTGTGATATACAAGTTTCCACCATTAAGGTAAAGGCTATCAAAGCAAGGATTCTGCTCAGGAGGAAAGCTACAAATGGACACTTCATGATCATTCTACTCAGAAACACTCAAAAATTAAATTATGCTGTTATGTTCAAAACTAATATACTTAAACGAGTTTTTAAAAGACAT